TATATATATATATATAATTTTTTTATTTATGGCTATGTATGCAGTACTGTGTTTCTGTACGATGTGCCCCTCTTTGTTTGCTTTTTCTCCCCTCACTAATACCCACGCACATCTTTTGTTTAATGCCGTTCCGCGTGGACCAGTTTGGTGCGACCAAGCCCGATGCACGGAGAGGCTCCCACTGCCACTGAAAGTGCCGTGCTGCGGCCGCCACGCGCCGTGCGGCGGCACCCGCGAGTCGACGTGGTGGAGTTGGATGCACCATCCGCGTACTGCCCATCTACCGTCGCCACTGACTCTCGCGCATCGACGCCACGCAGTCTCGCGCAGATGCGACAGAAGCCGACAAAAGAGGCTACCCACGGCAAGTTCAGGCCACTCACCGCCACCAGCTGNCAGTCTCGCGCAGATGCGACAGAAGCCGACAAAAGAGGCTACCCACGGCAAGTTCAGGCCACTCACCGCCACCAGCTGGGTCACCACCACCACCTCGACAACCGTCTGCCTCCCCACCGCCACCATCTGCGCGCGAACGGTACCGGTGTCGCCGCTTGCTATCAACGGACCCGGCTCACAGGGATCCAGCAGCACCGACCCGACGGCGCTCTCAATGGGTAACACACCTATGCAGCGCATTACAACAAGGAGTGGGCAGCGCGCTGCGTCCTATTCCACATAATGCACACCACGTCCATGGCCCTACGGGGCGGAGGAGAGAAGAGATGTCCAAGTGTGTTGCGCAAACGACTCTTCGGCTGGAAGAAAGACTGAGTAAGTAGTCTGAAAGCGTGAGGAGAGGGTATGTAGTTGTACACTGCATCTTCTTTTTTTTTCTTTTGTGGTTAGTTTGCTTCCTTCTTTGGAGAATAAGTACGTAGAGAACGGGCAGTGAGAGAACGAAGTATATACCTGCATATATCTATGTGTGTGCGTCATGAAAAACCCTTATACCGCAAGACACTTAGCCGCGTACGGATCTCAGCAGCAGATGCCGATATATATGAGCGAAAAGGGGAGACCGAGAAAATATGTGCAGTCTTTGCAAGTGGCCTGCCATGTGTTAATGAATGCCATTTTGCCCCAGCACATCAGAGACCCCCTGTATATTTGCATCTGTTCTTTCAGCTGCATTTCGTTGTTCCTCTCTCCATGGGGAATTAATTCATGTCTTCGTATAGGTAGGGAAGCGAAAAGAGAGGACAAGCTCGTGATGGATCAAGTTGCTTTGATTTGGGGGCCATTGAAGGATATATATTTATAGATATATATTGTTTTCTTGCCTCAAAGTGTGTGGTGATGTCGCACCTCGTGTCAATGAGATTATATGTATGTCGCGTTATTTGTTTGCATTTTTGGTCTACTGACACGTCGTGCTTCAAACGAGTCGTGTTATCGGGAATGCCCACGCAAAGTTGCTCTGTAAAGTTTTCCTTCTGCAGCTGCTACCGTTGTTGTTGTTGTTGTTGTTGTTGTCGTTTATCGATATTCTTTCTTTACACAGTGGTGACCATTTTCGGGGGTCTTTCATACATATCGTTAGGTCTTCTCTCTCTCTCTGTGTGTGTGTGCGTGTACGTCTTCCACGCGTAGGATACCATTTGAATCGGGGGAAAAAAAGTATATAGAGTTATTGCAGAAGGGAAACACCTCAAGAAACAAAAGCGAAACATATCAATTTAAAAAAAAAACAAAGTAAATACAAGGGAACAGTGAGCGTATCAAAAACGAAAGGAGTAAAACAGAAAGATACACCTGGAGCCAATATGACTTCCATAGAAGGGAGTCCAAGTAGTCTGGACAACGGCGAATTTGCCCCTTTCCCACAGTCGCGCCGCTTTCTGCACCGTGTGCCGCGCGTAAATGTGGTGGAGCTCAAGACGCCTGTGGCACTCGCCAATTTTCCGAGACTCCGCCAGCGGTGCGGCGGTGTGAACGGGGCAGCGCTACCCACGATAGAACGTGGTACGACACCAGGGGTGCCGTTTGATCAGTGCAGCCTTTCCACAGTGGACAGTGGCAGCAGCACATCGCACCGGCGCCGTAAAAAGTACACTACGACAACCGTCACCACAACAACCATTACCAAGATCATGCTTCCGCATATGCGGCAGGTGGTGCTGTTCGACGATACCAACACTACAGATTCAAATACGATCCGAAGGGTAATGGAGGGGGAGAGGAGTGATATCATGCCCAACCAGAATGGCAGCCTCAACACAGAAGCTGCTGGCACCTTAAACAATGTCAACCAGAACTATGCATTCCGACCAGTGGAAGATCAGCCACCCGACAGCGTTGGGGTGGAACCAAACGTTCCCCGCCTTCCCATTGCTATGGCAAATCGCCGTCAGCCGCATAGCTTGCCAAGCGTAAGCAACAGTACCGCCCCACAAACCCCACCGCCACCGCTGCGAAGCCCACATGTGGAAAAGGGGGAATTAGCGGCATACGCGGGCGGGGCCCTGTCGCAGATGCCGACGGGGGATACAGGACAGCAACCGTGGGTGATCAGTAATAAAACTGCTAGTATGACGTCCTCTGTGACCCACCGTCATCCCGCCGTGAAGCCGTTTCGTGGAAACGGAAGCCAGCAGCTTTCAACTAATCCCAGCACGACGTTGCAACCGAATGGGAACCCACACCAAGTTGAGGAACCGTTTTTGGTGGAGCCGCAGGAGGCAGCAACACCGCCTCATTCACGGCATTTGCGTTTCATGGATACCACGCCTGGGGAGCATAACACGGGGCTGGGGGAGCCCCTGATGCGGCCGTGGATCCTAAACGAGGAGAGGGATGAGAATGAGTGGCATGCTGTGGGATAAAAAAGCTTTGGCTTGCACAGTGGACTCCCAGGTAAAAGAGTGGTAGTAAGCCGAAAAAGAAATAATCACCACTGAACCAAAAAAGCATAGACAGACATATATATATATATAT